TGTGTGTGTGTGTGTGTGAGAGAGCAGTGAAGGCTGGATGTGGGTCAGGCTGACGGGCTGAAGCTCTGCAGTGTTAAATATGAAGCAGTGATTTCCAGCTGCAGACTCGTCGCTCCGCTGCAGCTCACCTGCCCGACACCCTCTGACCTCTGACCTCTGAGCTCAGCACAGGACTCAGTTAACGCCACAGACATTCTGAAGCTTCGCTTTAATAAGGATCCATAAACTGTTCACAGCCTGAGAAAAAACATCTTCATCTTTGCTTCTGATGATTTTGTCAGTGTTTCGTTAAATTACGCTCAGACCTGCTGGGTTTGTAGTTTGTAAATGACTGCCTCTCCATATTTGTAGTCCTGCAGAGCGACTACAAACACAGTGAATCCTGCAGAGCTGCGACGCTCCTGAGGGCAAGCCCAGCTTTCATTCCTCATCTCAGAGAGAAACGCCGCCTCGCATCTCTGCTCCGACACAAACCCGCCGCATTAAACCTGCGTCCACAGACGGGCCGCTAATCTGCTGGGACAACAAACAGCTGCTAATCACAGACCTTTGGAGCTGCGTGCATCCATCACAGCAAATGCTGCTCCACTCAGCCGCTGGGTCTCACACACACACACTGTGCCACACAGACCCACCTGCAGGGAACAAAACCCTGAATTAGATCCAGAATTTTCTGTAATTCTGCAAAAAATCTTTGAAATCTTCCACAAAGCAGACGTTGGTTCAGATTAAGGTGAGCGTGTGAACACACTCATTATTATTATTATTAATAATACGGTTTCACGTGGTGATGGACACAAACGCTCACAGTGCCTCAGAAGCGTGTCCTCGTCCCCGTCTGTCTCTCTCACGTGTTTTAAAATTCGTTTGATCGTCGGGCGTCGGCGCCTGTTTGCTTCACGGACGCAGTTTCTCACAAACACCTGAAACTCTGACACGCAGCTTTAGTGTGTGTGCAATGTATTGTGGGCCATTGCTCCTCTGTCCCAAACGCGTTCAAAGACAGGAAGTGTTAAGCGTCCCGTCTGACACGACGACCCCGACCGCAGGAAGTGGCATCCTGCCTGCTCGCACTCAGCAGTTCCCCCTCAGACACGCCTCTGCAGCAGGACGGCGAGGGACGCCAATCTGTGAGATTATTTCAGTTTGATCTTCTAACAGCTGATAACAGGAAGTGGAGCTTTTTCACAATAAAGCATCACTGCCCAGACTCAGATTCAATCTGCTTTCAGCCTGAGACACGTCACATTTACCAAACTCGTCGCGTGCGGATGCAGAGCATTATTTTGCAGAGCCGTGTAACTGAAACTGAGCTGTGATTAAAACGTGTGAAGGTCTTCATGTCCTCAGCAGCTCTGATGTCTTCACTCGTGTGAACAAATGACTCGTTTGAGGAAAATGGAGCTCACAGCTCAAACTGTGAAGAGCTTATTACACAGCAAGAACTCAAAATCTTATTTGTCTTATTTCTAGCCGAAATTATCTCATTACACTTAAAATAAGACTAAACCGGCTACAAAGCATCAGTAAGATAAAGGAACTTGTTTCAAGACAGTGAATCTTGAAACTAGAGAAAAACTAGAGAATTTTCACTTGTTTCATTGGCAGATTTTTTCACTTAATACAAGATATTTCGCCTTGAAACAAGTGAAAATTCTCAAGTTTTTCTCTAGTTTCTGCAGCGTAACGCCGGGCGCTTACATAACGCACGGAGCGAGCCGACCATCCGGATCCTCCAAGCAGCAGGAAGCTACAGACACGTCTGTTCTTTGGCCTTTATTATAAAAACAGAACATAATAAAGACGTCGCTCGGTGATCGCTTCAGTGTTGCTGAGCAGAAGCTGCACAGCATGAAACATCAAAGCTTTACTCATCAGGACACGTTCAGCTTTATTTTCTGTGTTTCTAAAATTACAAAATGACACGAAATAAAGTTTTTTACTTAATATTTGAATTCTGGTTGTTTTTATTTTAATGATTTAATGCAATTTTAAAACATTTGATGTCTTATTGCAGATTTTTAAATTGTTACAATGTTTAAGTGCATTTGATATTTTTATGAAATTTTTGAATCCTTTTTATTTTCCAATCTGTGAAAAAGCAGAAATGCAGCAGAAAACAGCACACACACACACACACACACAGACACACACATACACAGCGGAGACACGCAGCATGAACCAGGGCCAAA